CACCTCAGCCTCCCAAAGGCGCGGGATTACAGGCTGAGCCACCGAGCCCAGCTCACTTTTAAATTCTATTTATTTATTTACTTACCTACAATGTTATTGACTGATTGAGACAAGGTCTTGCTCTGATGCCTAAGCTGGAGTGCAGTGGTATAATCAAAGCTCACTGTAACCTCAAATTCCTGGGTTCCAGTGATCCTCCCACTTCACCTTTTAAGTAGCTAAGCCTACAGGCACATTCCACCATGCCTGGTTAATTTTGTTTTTTGAGTCGGAGTCTTACTCCATCGCCCACGCTGGAGTGCACTGACACACTCACAGCCACCCCAGTGGGTGGGCTGGGCTCCAGTGATCCTTCTGCCTCAGCCTTTCAAGGAGCCAGAACTACAGGTACATACTACCATACCCGGCTAACTTTTGATTTGTTGTAAAGATGAAGTCTCACCAAGTTTCCCGGGCTGTTCTCGAACCCATGGGCTTAGGCAATCCACTCATTTCGGCCTTCCAAAGTGCTGGGATTACAGGCTGTGCCACCGAGTCTGGCCTAATTTTTATTTTATTTATTATTATTTTTTGAGTAAAGGTCTCACTCTTTTGCCCAGGCTGGAGTGTAGTGGCATAATCATGGCTCATTGCAGCCTCAAACTCCTAGGTTCAGGGACTCCTTCTATCTCAGCCTCCTGAGTAGCTGGGAGTACAGGCAACTGCCACCACACCCAACTAATTTTTTTTTTTTTTTTTTTGTAGAGACAAGGTCTCATTATGTTGCCCAGGATGGTCTCAAACTTCTAGCCTCAGCCTCCTGAGTAGCTAAAACTACAGGCATGTACCACCACACCCAGTTAAGTTAAAAAGAAATTTTTTTTTTTTTTGATTCGGAGTCTCACTCTGTCGCCCAGGCTGGAGTGTAATGGTACGCTCATAGCTACCGCATCCTCGACCTACTGGACTCTGGTGATCCTTCTGCCTCAGACTTCCAAGTAGCTGGAACCACAGGCATATGCCACCTTGCCTGACTAATTTTTTTGATTTATTGTAGAGACAAGGTCTCATCATGTTGCTCAGGCTGGTCTCAAACCCCTGTGCTTGGGCAATCCTCTCACCTCTGTCTCCCAAAGTGTTGGGATTACAGGCTTGAACCACCGTGCCTGGCAAAAAAATTTTTTTTATAGAAATGGGGGTCTCACTATGTTGTCCAGGCTAGTCTTGAACTCCTGGGCTCAAGTGAAAAGTACTGAGATTACAGGTGTGAGCAACTGCACCCAGACTCAGAACAAAATCTATGACACTAGAACCTAATGATATTCACCATCAGGCCCAATTTCTTTTCTTTTTTTTTTTGAGTTGGAGTCTCACTGGGTCACCCAGACTGGAGTGCAGTGGCTGCTTCTGGCCACCACAGCCTCGCCTCCTGGGCTCCAGCGATCCTTCCGCCTCAGCCTTCCGAGTAGCCGGAATTACAGGCACGCGCTACCACGCCCAGCTGATTTTTTGATTTATTGTAGAGATGAGGTCTCGCTGCCCAGGCGGGTCTCGAACCCACGGGCTCAGGGAATCCTCTCACCTCACCCTCCCAAAGGTGCGGGATTACAGGCTAAGCCACCGAGCCCGGCATTCTTTTTCTTTTTTGAGTTGAAGTCTCACTCTGTCGTCCAGGCTAGAGTGCACTGACATACTTATGGCCACCCCAGCATCAACCTGCTGGGCTCTGGTGATCCTTTCACCTCAGCCTTCCAAGTAGCCAGAGCTACAGGTGCCCACTACTACGCCCAGCTAATTTTTGATTTCTTGTAGAGGCGAGGTCTCACCAAGTTTCCTGGGCTGGTCTCCAACCTGTGGGCTCAGGCAACCCAATCGCCTCGGCCTCCCAAATGCTGGGATTACAGGCTGAGCTACCAAGCCCAGCTATCACACCCAGTTTCTAAGTTGCCTTCCCATTCATGTCATCCAATAGCCCAAGGCTGCTTCAAGTATTAGCTTTCCCTTGTATGATAACGGTGTTACATACCTCCAAGAAGTCAAAGAGGAGGGTGGCTGTCACATCGGACAGGGGCTCCATGTTTAAGATCTGCGCCAACCAGCGCCAGCCATGATTTAAGCCATGAGGGTGAATCTGGGAGGAGAGAACCTTGATCAACATTTCATCTCATTTTAGTTGGAGCTCCTAATTCTCAACGCATCATCTAGCATCTCCAAGTGGACATGATCCTCAGATCATCCAGCCAAAGCACCTGGTGCAGGGCAGAAACACCAGCTCAGCAAATTCTTTTTTTTTTTTTTGAGTTGGTGTCTCACTCCGTCACCTAAGCTGGAGTGCAGTGGCATGCTCATGGCCACCACAGCCTCAACCTGCTGGGCTCAGGCAATCCTTCCCACTCAGCCTTCCTAGTAGCTGAACTACAGTCATGCACCACCATGCCTGACTAATTTTTTGATTTATTGTAGAGAAGAAGTCTTGCCAAGTTGCCAGGCTGGTCTCGAACCCGTTAGCTCAGGCAATCCTCTCACCTCAGCCTCAACCTCCCAAAGTGCTGGGATTACAGGCTCATGCCACTGTGCCCGGCCACAAATTCTGTTTTTAAATACTCCAATACATTGGTTCCTACACATTCTTTACAAGATCCTTTCAGTTTGTGTGTGTCAGCGTCAGTTTCAGGTATTCCACAGGCCAACAATTACCCTTACTGACATTTTATTTCTCATTCTTAGTAGCTTTAGCACAGAACCTGGAACACAGCAGGTGCGGATTAATAACTTTTCAGAGTCCACCACCTTCTGCCATTTCTCTTTTAGGATTCCAAGTCCATTAACTTCTCCACCCTCTAATTTGTATTCCTTGAAAAAATAACTGGGCTGGCAGGTCAAAGTCCTGAACCTCAGCTGTAGCTGCCACTGACAGGTGTGTATCATCCAGCTTTTTGAGCCACATCTATTCTTCTGTGATGTAAGGGATATGACCTGGATGACTTTTAAGGCCCCAAGTAGGTCTAAAATGACAATTCCTTGCTCACTCCTCTTCTTTTTTTGAGTTAGAGTCTCACTCTGTCACCCAGACTGGAGTGCAGTGGCCGTTCCCGGCCACCGCAGCCTCGACCTGCTGGGCTCTGGCGATCCTTCCACCTCAGCCTTCCGAGTAGCTGGAATTACAGGCATGCGCTACCGCCTGGCTGATTTTTTAATTTATTGTAGAGATGAAGTCTCGCTGCCCAGGCAGGTCTCGAACCCACGGGCTCAGGCAATCCACTCACCTCAGCCTCCCAAAGGCGCAGGATTACAGGCTGAGCCACCGAGCCCGGCTTGCTCACTCCTCTTCTAAGAAAATCTTCTTTTTTTTTTCTGAGTTGGAGTCTCACTCTGTCACCCATACTAGAGTGCAGTGGCTGCTCCCAGCCACTGCAGCCTCAACCTGTTGGGCTCCGGCGATCCTTCCGCCTCAGCCTTCCAAGTAGCTGGAAATACAGGTGTGTGCTACCACGCATGGCTAATTTTTGATTTATTGTAGAGAGGAGGTCTCACCAAGTTGCCCAGGTGGGTCTCAAACCCGTGGGCTCAGGCAATCCACTCACCTCAGCCTCCCAAAGCGCTGGCGTTATAGGCTGAGGTGAGAAAATCTTCTAACCTCTCTGACTCTACTATAAAATCAGTTTGTTTGGTTTTTTTTTTGAGTTGATGTCTTACTCTGTCATCCAGGTTGGAGTGTAGTGGCATGTTTGTGGTTACTGCAACCTTGACCTGCTGAGCTTAGGTGATCCTTTTGCCTCAGTCTTCCGAGTAGCTGGGACTACAAGTGCGCGCCATCAGGCCCAGCTAATTTTTAAATTGTTGTAGGGATGAGGTGTCACCAATTGGTCTCAAACCCCCGGACTTAGGCGATCCTCTCACCTCAGCCTCCCAAAGTGCTGGAATTATAGGCATGAGTCACTGCCCAGCATAAAACCAGTTTTTTAGGGATTTTTTTTTTTTTTTTGTAGAGAAGAGCCACCACACCCAGTCAAAATCAGTTATTTAAAACTGAGTCAGGCTGAGCTCGGTGGCTCAGGCCGAGGCGAGAGGATTGCCTAAGCCCGCGGGTTCGAGACCCACCCGGGTAACTTGGAGAGACCTCATCTCTACAATAAATCAAAAATTAGCCAGGCATGGTAGCACGTGCCTGTAGTTCTGGCTACTTGGAAGGCTAAAGCAGAAGGATTGCAGAAGCCCAGCAGGTCAAAACTGCAGTGGGCGGGAGTTTGCCACTGCCCTCCAGCCTGGGTGACAGAGTAAGTTCAACTCAAAAAACAAACAAAAAAAAAGCTGAGTCAGCTGCTGAATAATGCCTATGATGACCCAAAAAAGTTTTCTAATACCCACTTCTCTAAAGAATGCCTACGAGCTGCCATTATCTTGCTTTATCACTCATCTAGACACTCTCGGAAAGAAGGCCATTATTCCCTGTGGCTGGAGCATGCTAACACGGACTCTGGTCCAAGTCTTCATTATTCATAGTAAGCTTCTTTCACCTACCGCATGTTGGTTTCCATACGGCCACCGGAGCTGGATGATGGCAGCATACAGACGGATCATCCCAGACATGCGTTTTAGAAAGTTGTCCTGCTGTTCTACTTTGGAATCCTTCACCTGGTAGCCAAGCAGCCTATGTGGGAGGAAAAAACCCAATGTGTCAAGGCCAAAACGAGGGTGGAGAATCAGAGACTACTTTGTTTTGTTTTGTTTTGGAGTTGGGGGGAAGGTCTTACTTTGTCTCCCAGGCTGGAATGCAGTGGCACAATTGTGGCTCACCACAGCCTTGACCTCCTGAGCTCAAGCAATCCTCCCACCTCAGTCTTCCAAGAAGCTGGGACTACAGGCGCACACCAACATGCCCAGCTAATTTTTAAATTTTTTGTAGAGATGAAGTTTTGCCATGTTGCCTAGGCTAGTCTCAAACCCCTGGTCTCATCAAACAATCCTCCTGCCTCAGCCTCCAAAGGGCTGGGATTATAGGATGGGATTATATGCCTGGCTCAAATCAGAGTTTACTTTTTATGGCTAAAAGTAACAGTGTATTATTACATTCAGCATTACTATCGATACATTATCAAATATCATTAGATCTGTAGAATACCTTGTTCACAATATGGATACCTTGGATATCCAATTTGTGCTTCATAAAAGCACTGCAAGGCCGGGCTCGGTGGCTCAGCCTGTAATCCCAGCACTTTGGGAGGCTGAGGTGAGTGGATTGCCTGAGCCCGCGGGTTCGAGACCCGCCTGGGCAACTTGACGAGACCTCATCTCGACAACAAATCAAAAATTAGCCGGGCATGGTAGTGTGTGCCTGCAGTTCCAGCTACTTGGAAGGCTGAGGCGGAAGGATCGCCGGAGCCCAGCAGGTCAAGGCTGCGGTGGCTGGGAGCGGCCATTGCACTCCAGTCTGGGTGACAGAGTGAGACTCCAACTCAAAAAAATAAAAATAAAAATAAAATGAATAAATAAATAAAATAAAAGCACTGCGAGGTAAAGTCACAGGAGGTCATGGATATCATTACGCCCGTTTACAAATAAAGAAAATGATGCTCAAAGAGGTTAAGTTACCCATTTGATTTAACCATTTTTGCAAAACTATTAAATGACAAAGTAGAGATAAAATTCCAAGACCCTTGAATTTTAGATCTGGTATTCTTTCCACTAAGCTACAGTATATGTGAGAGAGAGAGAGAGAGAGAGAGAGAGTGTGTGTGTGTGTGTATCTGTATTGTTTTGTTTGTTTTTTGAAACGAGATCTCACTCTGTTACCAAGGCTGGAGTACAGTGGCTCATAGCAACATTGACCTTCTGGGCTCAGGGCATCCTTCCACCGCAGGTTCCCAAGTAGCTGGAACTACAGGCATGCGTCACTATGCCCAGCTAATTTTTTTATTTTTATATTTTTATTTATTTTTTTCACCTTAATTTTTATTTTTTTATTTTTTTGAGTTGGAGTCTCACTCTGTCGCCCAGACTGGAATGCAGTGGC